CTGCTCATCGACCGCAAGTTCAGCATGGACCTCAAGCAGAAGGTCCTCAAAGTAAGTGGCTTCGACGACAACACACACTTTCTGGAACCCACATAACCGCTAGATCCTCTTTAACGCTTGTGTGCTCTTCCAGCTGACCTCGGTGCTGCTCAGGACCGACAGGGTGTACGACATGCACAAGAAGCGCTTGCGCCTGCAGGACTCCTCGACCGTGCTCGCCGGGCTTGTCGGCGGCGGCGTGGGCATGTACCCGGGCCTCATAGCGCTCCTGGGCGACCAGAAGCTCTCCATGGAGGTGGCAGCCATGCTGCTGGACCAAGTACTTCTGACCGGTAAGTAATCAAAAAAAACAAATCAAAACTATTTCAATTTAAGAAGTTTGACAGTTTTTATTTTACACTTAAAATACTATGCAATGTACAAAACAATCTATTTCAACACTTAAAATTTAATCAAAAATTATTTGGACGGTTGCAGAGACGGCCGCGAGCTACGCGGGCGCCCTGTCGCTGCTGCACGCGCTGTCGCTGGCCGAGCTGGACATCAAGGTGGAGGTGGCGCGCAAGGTGCTCACGACGCTCTTCATGCGGCCGGGCGCCCCGGGCGCCGTGGCGCGCCAGGTGGGCTGGCAGGACTGCGTGTCCAGGCTGCTCGTCAAGCGGCCCATCTCCACGGCGCCGACCTCGGCCGCCGAGGACTCCTCGCTGCCCGACCTCATGACGTTCGACGAGGACGCGTTCGAGCTGGACGGCGGCGCGACGGCCAGCTCGCTCATCCACCGCTCGCACTCGCCCTCGTCCGTCTCCAGGATCTCGGCGTCCGTCTCTGACGCCGCCTCCGTCCTCGAGAGCGAGATCAAAGGTGTGTGTTTTTCTGTGTCGGTGTTCTCGGCTTCCTGTTCTCCTCTAACGACGGCGTCCTGGTCCAACAGACGTGGCCGAGTCGGTGACGCTCGCCATCGGGGACAACATCCAGTACGCGGCCGACAACATCAGCTCGTTCATGGGCTCGGCCTACTCCGTGTTCCGCCAGAAGACGGTGGAGATGCAGGAGAGCCTGGAGGGGCTGGGCGAGAGCGCCGTGCACCGCCTCAAGCACAACGGGGCCGGCGCCGTGCGCAGCGGCTCGTCCCTCAGCGAGCGGCCCTCGGTGGACTCGGCCAGCCCCGGCACCCGCTCCCGGTCGAGCAGCAGCTCCGAGGACGTGTCGTCGGCGGCCGCGGAGAGCAGCAGGGCCTCGCTGTCCGTGACGGACGGCGCGGCGCAGTCCCAGGACGGCGGCGGCGGCGGCGGCGGACGTGTCGTCGGCGGCCGCGGAGAGCAGCAGGGCCTCGCTGTCCGTGACGGACGGCGCGGCGCAGTCCCAGGACGGCGGCGGCGGCGGCGGCGGCGCGGGCGGCGACAGCGACACGGAGGAGCAGCGGGAGGCGCTGCGCCAGTGGGTGGCGCTGGACGCGGACCGCCAGGGCGACCGCGAGGAGGACCTCTGCTACCTCGTGCTCAACATCCTCTTCACCGTGCTGTGGCGCGGCGTGGAGACGGGCAGCCGCGACTGCTGGCGGGTGAGTGCCGGTGTGGAAACACATTCTCGAAAGTTCTGAATTTGAGTGCCTTTGAAAAGACTAATCTATGACGGGGTATATGGAGTAAGTTTCTTTTTTTGCTTTTGACCGGTTTTGCGCTGCAATACTTGAAGCAAATCAAAGCAGTGGTAGCACCTATACTTCCTTATAGGGTAAACTAGCAACTCACACTGCAGAGCTCTAAATGTCTCAGTGTACCTTGTCTCTTTGTATGGATTTGAGTCTACGGCAGCATAATCAATAGCTGACCATACATGTTTATATTCTTCTTGTGGCACACCACAACATATTTCAAATTCACTACTAAAATCTATCAATTGAACAATCCTATTAACAAAATAAGTTATGCGGTTAGCTTGTAAACATTTAGGTGGTAGAGCGTTTGGCATGTGTTTAGTAATAGGAAACTCCCTGCAATGCACTTTCATCTGCACACTTCCATCACAACGAAAAGTAAGCTGGCGTTGGGTTACTTTATCTGCTGTTCTCGACAAACGTAGAACGTGAAGTTCGTTTTCTTGCACCAGACTAACCCAGTTTGGTTTTAAGAAACTTTCTAATTTTATCTTGACCTGCTTTAGCAATGGTTGGTAATCTATTACGGTGTCTGTGTCACTCTGTTAAAAGAGAAAAATCCCTGTTATGTCATTTGGTGAGGAGAACATGAACAGCGTACTCCCTGTAGGCACTTAGTAGGTACTTACACTTGGTAATTTAAAACTTGCGGCAGATGGTAACACAGATATTGTTGGATCTTCTTTAAGAGACTTAACAGGGTCACAACAAAGTGTGTCAAAAGACGCAGGATTTTTCAGTTGGAATGTGTCATGATCTTCCTACAAAAGTGAAGTATTAATTTAATATGAGAAAGTTCATTGCTTTCCTGGAAAGTTGAAGAAAATTCAAATTACTATTTTGATAACTGCAAGAGGGTCTGTTGAATCCACAGAATTTGATGAGGGTTCAGCATCAGGCATTGAAATGTCATCTACAAAATTAATGTGTAAATCGTCAGGTGCAGATCCAGTACACTGCGGATTGCTATCATCTTTTTGACTCTGTGAAGCATTCTGGATAACAAGAAACGGAAATCATCATCACTAAAAATTGAATATTAATCTCACATAGTTCCAAGAGTTATTATCTGTATTCAAGCAACTTACTGTAACAGTACCAAGTACATCTCCAAAACTTTGATCTGTCGTGCCTGAAGAATTCGTTAGAGCCCCACATTCCCCTTGTAGTGGTTGAGCAGTTCCTTTTTTCGGGTTCGTGAACCGCTTTCGTACACTACATTTTGGCATCTTGGTAAATACTGCTTAATGCACACAACTGTTATCAAAACACAAGAGGTTAAAAGGAAAATGATTCAAAGTAAACCCCTAAATACTTGTGGGATGACAGCAAAACAGAACCACCATGCTTAAAAATACTTACAAGCCTATTCTAAATTAATGAGGCACATGGGCAGGAAAAATTACTTGCGCACAACAATGCATTCCATCAACTTCTGTCAGCCTCCTAACGAGGATGGGTGCGAGAGAGGGAAGAGGAGAGGTTGAGGTTAGGAAGGTTTAGTGGAGGGGGAAGGGGTGGCCATGGCCATGGGGCGCGAAGTTCAAACCATGGCGCGGGGCGCGGGCTGGTTCTGCTGATCTGGGTGGTCTGTTTACATTTTTACGACTCACTCAAACTTAAAATTCGTAGCGAAAAAAAGAATAAAATCTTTAATACGATAAATTCAAATTTTAACTCACATAAGAAATCTTTCGAGTCTAAAACATTTTCTCACCTCAGCCGTCGCGTCATGGAAAATGTCTATCTAGTTAGGAGCTCGATCTGGATCTTGACAGCTCCTTACAAACAGAAACCAGTAAATATCAAGGGAGATTAAACCAAATAGGAACGTCCGGTTTCAATATTCTTTAAAAGTGTGTATGTGTGTGTGTATTTATTATATTTTATTTTTTGCATGTGCAGGAGCGTGGACAAGTGATGGCTTGTATCAACCTGCTGGGACTCAACAACGAGCTGCACGGCTCACACCTGCAGCTCAAGCTGCGCCTGCTCGAGATGGGCGTGCAGGCGGCGCTCTCCGACCTGCGCGAGTCCGCATCCTCGTCGTCGGGCACCTCTGGCGGCGGCGGCGTCGGCTCAGCGTCGCCCCCACATGCGTCCGCCGCCGACAACGCGGCGCAGCTGCTGCGCTGGGTCTACGACCTGGTGGTCCTCGATCCCAACCCGGACTGCTCCAAGAAGGTGTCCACCAAGCTGCTCGACGGCGTGCTCGGCCTCCTCGACGCCCTGCTCGTCTTCCACGAGGGCCCTCAGGAGGAGTGGACCGAGATGGCCAAGCTTTCCTTCGGTATGGCTGCACATAATTCGTTTTAGGGCTTGTGTACTTTTTTACGCGGCTCCTTTTGTTACTTACCTGTCACTGCCTCCCACACACTCCATTATACAACCACGATCTCATATCAAGAGCCGTGTGAAAACTGTAATAAAAACTACTCCCTCTTAAAATATGAATTAATTGGGTTAACTATACTTGCTGTCCTAGGCGTGCTGCTGAGCTGCGCGGCGGGCCCCCAGCTGGACCTGTGCGCCATGGCCACGGCCAAGCTGCACGCATTGGTGCAGACCAGGCGCCAGGCCGCGCTCGAGGAGAGCGCCTACCTGCTGTTCGTGCTGGACGGCGTGGCCCAGGACGCCGTCAAAGGTAATCGCCGAGTGCAAGACCTTGGGTACCCCCCTCCTTAAGGTGTCATCTCTTACACCTTACCCCTCCCCACTTATTTGTCGCTACGACAGGGTGCGTCGCTTCTACTGTAACCCGCTTCGCCTGAAACATGTTTTTCTTTCAGCCGAGAACCAGGAGCACTACTCGTTCCTGATGCCGGTCGTGAGGGCGCTGGTGGAGAAGTTGTCGGCGCCGCTGTGCGTCCCTCAGTACTGCCTGGACCTGCCCTCCACCGCAGCCGGGCCCGTGTTCTTTGAGGAGTTCCAGAGCTACAGTCAGGGCGACCAGTGGCGGCAGTTTGTGGAGCAGCAGGTAAGGTCTGCGCCGCGCGAGGGCTTTGCTCGAGCTTTGCTGCAGGGCCTTCCCCCCTCCTGCCGCGCTACTCGCGCTACCCACCGGGGGGCTTTGCACTACGTTAGCCTCCTCGTGTGTAAACTCTCGAGACGTAAGGCATTTTGCTGACCGTGTCCCCCCCCCCCCCCCCGAGTGATCCCGTTCAGCGTTCTCTTACCCCAGTCTTTGTCGCACTCAGTGCCCCAGACGGGAGAGGGGAGGGGGCACGACTCATAAACTCTGTGCGAAATAACCTTGCGGATCTGAGAGGTCATTATTAGGAATGGTGGAGTGGAATTGAGTAAGACGATGGGTGGGGGGCTTTCAGTTCCCCGTTTTACTTTTTTATTCACGGGCCATCAAAAATGCATAATCCGAGAACGCGGTTTTTTGCCCCCACCTTCGCCGTCAGCGTGCTGCTTCCAGGTGTCTACTTTTTTCCAGTTGTCTACTTTTTTCCAGTGAACCAAGTGAGCGTACGTACGTACCAGCGTATCCCCCCTCCTCCCCACGCCCCATGCGAAAAAAGTGTCTCGGTCCCAGGGGTGTACTCCACGCCAACCCAGTTTATAAAGATGTTTCTCTCTCGCTCGCTCCAAGCCACGCCCAGCACCGCACACGAGGCATATTTTGGAGCACTCCCATGAGGCGGCCTCCCTGACAATGCTCATTGCCTCGGTGCGCCGCGTGGCGCCGCGTGGTGGGCAGTGGTGGGACGAGGAGCATCTGCCTGAGAAGGATTCCCGCACACACCGACTTTTAAAATTTAGAGCTCGCTACCGCCTTCTCAATGAGGGGAAAGTCATGTAACAACCTTCACTCCGAACTTCTTTCTGATTGCCATCGCAACACTACAGTTCTGCGCATTTGCTCTACGTGGCGTTTTTTTGTATTTTCTTGTGGGTAGTATCTCCTTTTCTTCTATTTTCCTCGCTTTTCTTTGCGTTTGACGAGGGAAAAGTTGAGGGAAAAGTGAGGGAAGGCGCATCTCAACTATTGATGTTGACAGTTTTTTCATATTTCATAGTTTATTTCATTTTTACTGTAGGATTTTCTTTTCAAAAAAACTCCGTTTTTGAAATACTAGCACAAAAGTGACAGCACTTTCTTTTGGACGTACCTCTAACAATAAATAAGACAGTCAACCTAATACTGTTTCCTAGGAACATTTTCACTCACCGTATCGCTCCAATCAAAGAGTAACATTGAAATTCATTTAGTTTTAGTCGCAGATTATCAACAGTACTCCTAATGCTGTCGGTTCCCCGGGGACCAAAGTGACTCGTCGCTGCGCCCAATGCGCAAACTTATTGTTAGGCAATTAAAACAATTAAAACAATAAATAAATAGCAATTGAAAAGGGCAAATTGAATAGAGAGGATTTCCACATTACCTCGCCGGCGGGAGGCGTATGTCAACAACACATTAACAATTCAACAACAAAAAAACAACAAAACAAAAACAAATAAAAGCAAAAGCAACAATAACTTATGAAACCAACAAGACACATCAGTTGTCACGGTCATGTCAAAACATTAAATTAATTTGTTCAAATAGTAATTTGTTTTGGTTTCGTTACGTAATAATTACAACAACAAAAATAAATAAATAATGAATGGGCCCGTGAGTGGCCCGCTCCCGTTCTGCTTTGTACTGATCTCATCCTATTCACCTCCGCGACTCCTCTGGGCTGGCACTGTCGTCCTGCTGCTCGTCCTCCTCTATCTCCTCCTCTGTGGCGTAGGACTCGCGGGCGTTGGGGTGTTGTTGCTGCTGCTGCTGCTGCTGCTGCTGGACGTGCGAGTACCTCGCGTTGGCCTGCTTCTGCTGCTGCGCGCGCTGCTGCAGCAGCATCTTGAGGTGCGCCTGGGTCGTGTCCTTCTTGCGGGAGGACGAGGACGGGTGCCGGTGCTTGGCCACCTTGCTGCCGTAGGCGTCGGGGTGGTGCGCGCCATGCTGGGAGCCTTGCTGGGAGCCCTGCTGGGAGCCCTGCTGGGAGCCCTGCTGGGCGGGCAGCGGGTCGTAGTAGTTGGGAGACAGCACGTCCGACTGCTGCTGCTGCTGTGGCTGTGTCTGCTGCTGATGCTGCTGTTGCTGCGGCTGCTGGCCGGGCTTGGCCTGCTTGCTCGAGTCGCCGTAGTACGCGTCCCAGTCCTGGGGGCTGAGGCCGCCGGACAGGTTGGGGGTCTGCTGCTGCGGCTGCTGCTGCTGCTGCTGGGACACATCGTTGGGCCCGGGAGCCACGCTCGGGACGTGGATGGGCGCCCCGGAGGAGGACGGCCCCGCCTGGGTGTGCACGCTGGCCGACACGGCGACGGACTTGTACGGCACGAAGCCGAACACCTCGGCGGGCGCCTGGAAGCTCTGCTCGGCCTGCTGCACGGCCTGCTGCACGCTGCCAGGCTGCACGTGCTGCGCGTGCACGGACGAGCCGGCCGTCTGGATGTCGCCGTAATGCTGGTACTGCTGCTGGTGCTGCGGCTGGTGCTGCTGCTGCTGCTGGTGCTGGTGCTGGTGCTGGTGCTGGTGCTGCGGCTGGTGCTTGTAGGCGCTGCTGCCGTAGTAGGCGGGCTTGCTGTAGCCCGAGCTGGCCGAGCTGGCCGAGCTGGCGGAGCCCTCGTAGTCGGGCGCGCGGTAGCCCGTGGTGAGGACGGCCTGCGCGGCGCCGTAGTGCTCGTCGGCGGGGGTGGCCGCCGTGCCGCCGGGGTTGTTGACGTTGATGTAGGAGGTGGCGGCGCCGCCGTGCGACACGGGCGACTTGAAGGACGAGCCGTCGTAGGGCGCGCGGTACGACGAGTAGGGCGACTTCTTGTACGAGTCGGGCTTGTAGTCGGGGCTGAGCGTGGCGCCGCCGCCGTGCGTGGGCAGCAGCGTGTACGAGATGGACGGCTGGATCTCGGTGCTGCCGTCGGGCTTGTACGACGCGCTCGCCTCCTGCTTGTACGAGGACGCGCCGCCGTACGGGCTGCCGCTGCTGCTCTCGTAGGAGGAGACGTCCTCGTAGGAGCCCACGCTGCCCCCGGCGGCCTCGGCCGAGGAGGTGGCGGCGGCCTGGTGCTTGTTGACGGGCGAGTACGACGGCGAGGGGGCGGGCTGCGCCAGCTCGCCGTACGAGTTCAGCAAGTGGCTGGAGGTGGACGGGTCCAAAGAGTACTCGCCCGACGACGGAGAGGACAGGCTAGGCGGCGAGGACGGCGCCGAGTACGACGGCTTGAAGGACTTGGTGGGCCCGTACACGGGCTTGGGTCCGCGGTACTTCGTCTTGCGGTACTTCGGTGGCTTGGAAGATTTGGGCGGGCCGTAGCTTGGCTTGGACTGCGACCCACTGAAGTCGGGACCCAGCGAGTACGTGGTCTTGGGTCGGTTGGACTTGGTGGGGCCAGCACTGCCCCGCGGGGGCGGTGGGTGCCCGTAGCCGGACTTGGACGGCCCGTAGCTTTGGCGGGTGGGCCTCTCGAACGCCGAGGACGCCTCGTAGCTGTCCAGGCTGTGGGCGCTGTGGGCGTGGCCGTGGCCCTTCCCCTTGCCCTTGGGCCCGTATACGGGCTTGGCTCGGTGCTTGTGGGGCCCGACGCTGTGGCCGAGACTGTGGCTGGACGGCGGCCCGTACCGGGGCTTGGAGCTGGGCCCGTGCGCAGCTCCGTGGCCTCCACTGTGGACCCCGCCGTGGCCTCCACCGTGGCCGTGCGGAGGCCCGTAGGCCGCGGCCTGCTTGGACGGGCGCAGGGCCCCGCCGGGAGGCCCGGGGCCGTAGTGGTGGCGCGGGGGCTGCGGGGGCTCGCGCCGTATCCGCGGCCCGTCCCGGGGCGTGGCCTCGCGCGGGCCGTGGTGCTCGCCGTGCCGCCCTTCTCGGGGACCCTCGCGCATCCGCAGGGGACCCTTGTCTGCCCGCACCGCGGCCAGGACGGCCAGCACAAGTGCGACCTGCAACAACAAAATGAAAAGTTTAGTCAGGTTTTTTGCTTTAGTTTATGCAACGGCTGAAACACACGTCGGTACGATCTAGCGCCATTTGCCGACTTTGGACCCCTTTTACTCGTTCTTAACCAACACATCAACATCTGCTTGGTGTTGGGGCGTGCGGGTATTGTTATCAGTATCGTGTAAATTTAGGGCCACCTGTTCGTTTCTTGAAACCAGTTTAACATTCCACTAAGGACAGTACTTGTTCTTTACGGTTTACACATAACTTTTTTTCCTCTGATTCGTTTGGACTTCGGGAGCACGCCGCCTGCGAGACTCAGGGTAGGCCACTCCGCAGTTCACGTATGCGCAGAATGCGAGATGTTGCCTACCCACTAGGCGCTATGAGAGCTTCTTGCATTGGCTGAACTTGGCAGGTTCGTTAGTGGTCGTTCAAACACTACGTGCCTTTGGTTGGGAGTGGGGGTGGGGGAGGGCTGGGCTACAAATAATGCGGGGACCCAAAATGATCAGGAACATCACATTGGAGTCCATAGAGACCCCACGATATTTGTACCCCAGGGTACATATGTTACAGGGTCTTACAAGCTGCAGTAATGGTCCCGTTCCATTTGGGGTCCCATAATGTTTGTACCCCCCTCCCCCCCTTCCTCGAAAAAAAAAAGAAAGACATGTAGTATTTGAACGACCCTCTAGTGGCAAAAATGACGGGCGCACTCGACCCCACCACAATAAGGCGCTAATTTAACTTAACCTCGTTTTGTATTTTTTGTGTGCGTTTTTCGTCGTTGTTTGCGTCTATCTGCATGCACTGGTATAGCTAATCCCTGGCGATGCCCAGGGAGCAGGCCTTTGCGGTGGGCCCCCTGGGCTGGCTGGCGCGGCGCTGCGCGGCTCGGCGCGGTGGCGGCGTTGCGTGCGCAGAGGGTCCGTCACGGCCGCCCGCGCGGCAGCAGCGTCAGCTCACCGCGGCGCCGCGACAGAGAAAGCCTTATACCACCGCCGGGCCGGGCCGGGCCGGGCCGGGCCGCGCGGGGCTAATTGACGAAAATTTCTCTTGTTAAGGAGAGATGATACGCTGCTCTGCTATTGTGCGTGCGTGCGCGCGCGCGCGCGTGAGTCACCGCCGCCGCGCCGGCACATAGCCCCGAAATAACGAGCCGAACGCCTCACGCCTCCCTCCTGTCACACCTGCCGGCTCGGCCGCCTCGTCAGTCATTACGAAGAGAATGTACACGCAAAGCACAACGTCGCGCGGACGACGCGTCTTTGTAATCAACGTGAAAAAGATCTTTATAAATTTGAATTAATTTTTTTTTGTAGTTAACAAATTACAAATTCTGAAAATTTTCATCAGGTCATTCTTCTTGCCCGTTGAAGAAAACCAAGTCCACAACACAAGCCGTGTATTAACTGGTCGTAACTACAGGCGTAGGAATTTATTGTAGGGGGGGGGGGTTAATGAGATGCTATTCATGCTATTCAAACTTTGTACAACTATACAAGGTTTTTCATGGAAAATTTTCCTGTAAAACCTACGAACAGTTTTCACGGCGAATAAAGTAGTATTCAGAGAAGAGAACTAAGGTAACTGAAGGAATGCAGCTTGGCTGTGCTCTGTTGCTGGTGTTATCCAACCCCTTGCCACTCCTCTTTCTCCTCAACCCCACGGGCGGGGCACGACCGCGGACAATGCGGCGACGGCGTCTGCTCCGCGCAAATAGTAATAATAACAGTAATAGTAATAATGATAGTAATGATGATGCGGCGATGCCGACTGCACACAATGATGCGTCCCTTATGCGCACGCCTGCCTGCGGCTGCCAGCGTCTCGGGACGCATTCCCCTCACAGCGTGGCAGGACGCTCGGCGGACCGGCTGGGCGCGCCTGGGGGTAGAGGCAACCCCGCCGCATCGGCGCCGCGGTCCGGCCGAGTGTGCTGGGAGGAGACGGACGAGGGGTGCCTGTTGCCACGACCCTGGCGATCGGCATCAGGATGACGTTTTCGTGGCACAACTTTCGAGAACCCCGGACCCTGCTCCGAACGGTGGTGGTTTCCCTTTTGGTTCCGTTTGGTTCTCGCGATGACGGCGCGCCAAAGAGAGGCGATGCCATCGCCGCATCGCGCTCTCTCGCTCCCAGTATCTTCCCCCTCCCTCTTTCCAGCAAGGTGCTAACTACTGTCACCTTCTCATCAGCCGCCAGAAATCAATTTCTCTCTGCCGGATCACTTCTTCAAGTGCGGAAAAAAAATTAGCGTCATTCGAAGAGTGCGGCGACGACGACGGCCGCTTGCAACATTATAGTTGATGTCGCCCCGGCCCGGCTGCCCGGCGGTGACACTGCGCGCGCGCGCGCGCGCGCGGCCCGCCGTGAGAATCACGCCCGTTATTACACTGATGGGAGCGCTCGATCATTTTCGAGTCCTGCGTCGAAAGTCACGAGGCCCTGGTTCTTGCCTCCTCCCTCCCCCTCTCGTTCTAACAGACTCTGCTCTCGTCATTTCGTGTGTCACACGATTTGATAACTTCTTACATTGTAAAAAAAACAGTTACAACATCCATAAAACTAAAACAAAAAAAGTTTCACGGCGTTTTGCAGCCGCTAAACCTGTTGCATATTGGTAAAATTCACAGTAAGAATACACAAAGATCATCTGCGTGAAAGTTACATAAAATTTAGATTCAATGATCCCATTTTTCTTTTTTGAAAAATTCTTTTTTTTTTTTTAAATGTTGAAAATTTTGCGAACATTTTATGCGGTGCTGCCGCGGAGAGAGGTGTGTAGCGCTGTGCCTTCTCCGCCCGTAGGGAACTCTGAGACCGATGATTGATGCCTTGTTCCGACACACGTCCCTCTCCTGCGAAGCGCCTCGGCACGCCACGGCAGGCCGGGCCGGGCACCCACTCAAGCAGCATACCTGATCTGATTGACGGTTATTTTTACACACCTGGTTGCCGTGCGGGCTGGCGCGGGCTGGCGCGGGCTGGCGCGGGCTGGCGCGCGGAGCCTCTGCCTCTCCAGCCCCTTTCCTCCCTCGCTCCGCACCCCCTCTCGTCGGCTCTCTCCCCTCCCACCCCTAGTTCCTGGTGTGGCTAGTCATTGCAGACGGCCCCTGATCGTCCTTTCGATTTCTCCGCTGCGTTGACCATCAACTCCGGACGGGGAAGAGGAGGGGGGCAATCCCTCGTCAACCTGGACACGTGTTTCTGAAAACCTCTTTATCTCGTATCAATAGTACCATAGTTCGGTAATTGCCATAAATAATTAATTAAACGAACATATCCCTACTGGAAGAAGTTCCTGAGTACATATGTCGACTTGTTAGACCAAGGTAGACTTAGGGTCGAGGGGTACACCACTCTTAAAAGTAGGTGTACGTGATTAAAAAAGTCAAGAAAAAAGTCAAGATAAAGTCAAAAAGTCATTTGAAAAGTCAAAAAAAGTCAAAAAGTCAAATAAAAAGTCAAAAAAGTCAAATAAAGTCAAAAAAAGTCAATGAAAGTCAATGAAAGTCAACGAGAAGTCGACGAAAAGTCGACGAGAAGTCAGAGAAAAGGCACTGAAAAAGTCAACAAAAAGTCAACATGCGAGTGAATATCTGCCTGTAAGAGGCCAAAAAGCTACGGAACTGTGATTGTATCAGAAAGTCCTAGATCACTGTCTTTTAAAGAGGGAGAGGGGTGGGTGGTGGGTGAAGTGAGAAAAATAAAATAATCGGAATTCATGGGATTTCTTTACCAAAAAACGTAAATACTGAAAATACCTTGCTTTTCTTACTTAGGGGGTGTACTCTGATGACGAATTTTCTTCTTATTCGATTCATGCTACAAATAGTACCAAAAAGTCTTGGAAAAACCTTATTACTAGCCCAAAAATCACATAAAATAAATTTGATCAAAAAGTCAAAAAAAAGTCAAATAAAAGTACAAAAAAAGTCAAAAAAAGTCAAAAAGTCACGGCCCAAAAAAATCGACTAAAAGTAGGTGTACGCCCAGAATCGGAGTGATGTACCCCTCGCTTAGGGTGGACCCCAACATCGTACTCCCAAGCTGGGAGGCTGATCGAGGTAGAAGGGGGAAGCGTCTCTACAGGTCCTCGACAGGGCCCTTTCATATTGCTATCATTTCGCTCTGGATTTTTATCTGTGACTACCTGCTACGTGTTCTAGCGCTTTTAATTTGACTTTATCAATTACAACCATCGCTTTCATCGGGCGATTTTTTTTCCGGGAATGATCTCTATTGTGTTTCTTGCGGAAGATTTGCCGCGGAGAACTTCACCGAAAAGAAAATGATGATCACGATAGTCTCTCTTTCTCCTTTTCTCCTGGCCACGCTGACCACACACATCATCATCAGTTTTGGGCAAACTCTTGGTTATTTAGAGCTACGCCAGTGAAAGTGCTGCTAGCTGCTCTACTTTGGTCGGCGCGCCCAAATACCTGGAGCGGCGTGTGCCGAGCGCTCTCAGAAGGGCACATTTCTCATGTGTTTTTACCCCGTGGTGTTTTCCCGCTGTCTCTAATTGTTACTAGGTGTGCGGTGGTACATGGCTATAAGGGTTTTCCAGAGGTCAACGTACGCCAGTACGATAGTGCACTTTACCAGCGCCGTTTACCCC